CTACTAAGCATTGGCGTGAAATAGTTTTCGTAGCTTCGTTTCGACATTCCTGTTCAGTTCCTTCCTTGTGTTTTGACTTGCATTTGCGCATAAATTTGTCTATTATTTTTTTAGATTGATTTTATGTAGACGCTAGGATTTTAGAAGATGGTTTATTTTCCTTGGAATTATGAACATTTATATGAGGATTATGTGATTGCATTCTTTCTAGAAGTTCATTGATAGTAGCATGAGAGGAATCATTTTGATGATTACCATTTTTTTGCCGGCATTCCAACCCTTGGTAATTTAATTTTTTTGAGAGTGGAGTTCTTTTCCTTTGACTCCTTTTGATAAAATTGAGTCGCATTGTATATAACGAGATTTGATTACTTACCTTCTTGCAATCAACAGGAGAATTTAACAGACAAGTATGAAAACTTTCCTCTGTAATTCCAGAATTATTTAATTCTTCGGGAGAGGTTTGGTAATTTCCCTTTCTAAAATTTTTTGGATTATTTAAAATTCTAGAAGGGGTTTGGTAACTTCTCTCTCCAAGAATTTTGGAATTATTAAAATTTTCAGGAAAGGTTTGGTAATTTCTCTCTCCAAGGATTTTGGAATTATTAATATTTTCAGGAGAGGTTTGATAACTTCCCTCTCCGAGGATTTTGGAATTATTTAAATTTTCAGGGGAGATTTGGTAACTTCCCTCTCCAAGGATTTTGGAATTATTAAAATTTTCAGGAGAGGCTTGGTAATTTCTCTCTCCAAGGATTTTGGAATTATTAATATTTTCAGGAGAGGTTTGATAACTTCCCTCTCCGAGGATTTTGGAATTATTTAGATTTTCAGGGGAGATTTGGTAACTTCCCTCTCCAAGGATTTTGGAATTATTTAAATTTTCAGGAGAGGTTTGGTAACTTCTCTCTCTCCAAGGATTTTGGAATTATTAATATTTTCAGGAGAGGTTTGGTAACTTCCCTCTCCGAGCATTTTGGAATTATTTAAATTTTCAGGGGAGAGGTTTGGTAACTTCCCTCTCCAAGGATTTTGGAATTATTAAATTTTTCAGGAGAGGTTTGGTAACTTCTCCCTCTCTAAGGATTTTGAAATTATTTAAATTTTCAGGAGAGGTTTGGTAACTTCCCTCTCCAAGAATGTTGGATTCTAGGATCTCGAAGGGGATGTGGAAATCCTCCTCTCGATGAATTATTAGAGTAGGATTTTTTCTTGACTCTTTAATTCCTCTCATTAATTTATTCTCGTTAAATTTCTCTAATTTATCATTTATTTCTCTGTCACTCTTTTTTCTTGTCATTACAGCTGTGTCTTCGTTCGTAATTCCGTCATTTTTATTATTTGAACTGGCATTGTTATTAAAGTCCTCGAAATGAATTTGAATGTCCCTTGGATAAGTATAGGACAAATTTGCACATTTGTAATTTTATTTTTATGTACTTGCGTTTCGATGCCTGAGCTATCGTTGTCAAATAATTCGTTCAGCAGTTTGAGGCGTAAGGTTGGTACTTGTACCTCAACTTCTTCGTCTAACGTGCTAATGACGTTCATATATGCTTTTCCAGAGACATTTTCTACTATTGTATCTCCTAAGTAAATTCCGTGTGCTATTGTTAATTTCGGTATATATTCTATTTTTATTTCCGGATTTCCTATTCTCACATAAAATAAATATTCTGATCGTGGTGGTGCGATGACGGTCTCTGGTGAAAAGAAAGGTATATTAACTCCTGATATATCTAAATATCCCTTCGCGTAATCGATTTTCGAGGATGTCTATTTGAAGAAATCGTTACCTAATATTCCGGATTGTGAGATTGGAAAATCACTTGACACGATATGAAAAGTAACTTTTTCTCCAAAGAGAGGCAAAATTATTTCTCCAAACGTATAAACGGGATATTCGTTTATGCCATTTAATTTTAGAATATTGTTATAATTGACAATGCCGTTTTTAGGTACAAAGTTTTCTTTGATTATGTTTGGCCCAGAACCGGTATCTAGCATAAAAGTTATGTGTAGTGTTGACTCGCAAAAGTATACCTAAACAGTAGGCACGCGACTATGCTTATCGAGGATCACAGTTATGAGACGTATTTCTAACTCGTTTTTTGCTTACTGGTCTTTTTTCGACAGGTGTGAGACTCGCTCGGACCCCTGTGCCACACCCGACTTCGAGGGACCATCGAAGTTTCCGTGTTCATTTATCTTTCTTCGGTTATTACTTGCGATTCGTAATTCACAACTTTCGAGGAGATGCCCTTGCCCTTTACAGTACCGGCAGAATAATGAGTCTGAGGATGCGGCGTTTTACCCTATCTTAGATCGACAATCTCTAGTATTATGTCCAAAATTATTACAGATTTGACAGACAATGTTTATTTTGTTAACCGCGTTATGTTGCTCATTTTGTTTTTTCCAGCAGTTATTGGTCGAGTGACCTGGCTTGTCACACCACTGGCAGGTTACAGAGGATTTGTTCTGGTTACTGTTATTATTAATTCGACAACTTTTAGCATTATGCCCTGATTTAAAACATATTTGACAAATATTATATTATTTCCCTGTAAAATGTTAACGGATTATCGTGCCTGGGAATCGCGAAGTCGACATTTGTCAGCGCTGTGTCCGCGTTTTTGGCAAATTTGACATATTAAAATTTCTGTTCCAAGATTAGTTAATTTTCTACAGTTTGAAGCTGAATGTCCTTCTTTATAACAAATCTAACAAGTTTCTCGTAATTTGTTCGTATTCAGCGCTTTACTCGATATTTTCTTGATTCTATCGTAAGTCTGTCATCGAATGGAGTTCTCTTTATATTCGTAACGCATCGGCTACCGTTTCTTGGACACTTCAGGTTCGTGCTATTCTTTGCTCAATTTCTGATTTTAATCCTTTAATAAAACACTTACACATGTCTTCTTTTAAAGAAGATTTAATATTTTGATCGGAAAGGGCATTTTCCGAAATTTTATGAACTTCCATTATTTGTTTTCCTAAAATCTTAACCCGATTCGCGTGTGTAATTACGTCCTCTTCATTCATGTGACAAATATGGCCTAGTTCGCCTTGCAGTTGGTATATATTTCTTGAAGCGCCATAAACTTGTTTTAAATATTTGGTTAATTATACCACACTGTTAAAGTCCTGGTCTTGTATAGTGCGACGCACTTCACCCACAATTCGCGTTCTTATGACTTTTGTGAATTGCGATTCAGCTTCATCCGGTAACATGGACTTTGCTTTCTCGCCTCTCTCGATAAACTAATTTAAAGGGATGTTTTTGCCATCGAAAAAGGGTACGGCTTCAACAGCGTATTTTAAGGTAGCGAATAAGTTTGGATGCGTCATTGTTCCGTCAGGTACCCTCGATTTAGGGATGACCACAACTGTTGGATGCTTGGACGTAATATCACTGAAATCGTGCACAGGCTGAGTAGTTATGTCCTCTGAGTCGGCGGAACCGTGAAACACAAGAGTTTTATCCGAAATCTCTGATTCATCCAAAGAAAAACCCGCAGTTTCGGATGTAGATTCAGAGGATTTGAGAGGAGTAAAGGTGTGTAATGTGTTTTGTGTACTCGATTTTAACTTGCTCAGATTTTCTATTGCGGTTTTATAAAGGTTTTCTACTTCGGATTTATTGCCAGAATATATATTCCTCGTATTCATTCCCGTTTCCTAAGATCGCACTTTAATCCCGGACGAGCCCCCAAAATTCATTTGTCTGTTACGTCCAAACTCTTGATCATGAAAATCTAGAAGATAATAAGGAAGAATGGAGAGGGTATGGAAGGTTTGACTCAAGCTCACAGGTATACGCACAGAGGCGAATAACTGTGAGCCGCACGCACCTTTTTGGTCTGGAAAAGGTGACCCATATACCTTTTCGGAATATGGGTCAACGTCCAGAAGGGACGCTATGACACCTGTTCCGATACAGTGCGAACGTCGGTCC